TCTACCTGGGGTCGAGTGTTGGCGCGGCACACCTGCGATATCACCGTCTTCACTAATTAAAGACGAAGCTGCGACTGCGGCGGCGGGAGGGGGAGGAGGGGTAGGGGTATGGGAGGATGAGGGGTAGGGGTAGGGGAGGGGGTAGGGGTAGGGGAGGGGTAAGGGAGGAGGAGGAGGGGTAGGGGTAGGGGAGGAGGAGGAGGGGTAGGGGAGGGGGAGGAGGGGTAGGGGAGGAGGAGGAGGGATAGGGGAGGANTCTCTCTTCTCTCTCTCTCTCTCTCTCTCTCTCTCTCTCTCCTCTCTCTCTCTCTCTCTCTCTCTCTCTCTCTCTTCTTCTCTCTCTCTCTCTCTCTCTCCTCCTCCTCTCTCTCTCTCTCTCTCTCTCTCTCTCTCTCTCTCTCTCTCTCTCACTATAAACCAGGGCCGGGGTTGGCTGCATGGCTTAGACCGCACGCACGCTTATTACCCTGTCGGCGGCTATTCTTGGGGGGTAGCAGCGCTGCATTGATCTACGCTGGGTCCTTAGCGAGGGCAGTGCCTCCACCTCCTCCTCCTCCTCCTCCTTCCTTCCTTCAGCAGCGTGTTAGTACTGCAGTGTTAGTACGCGAACTGTAAGCAGGCGACTACAAGCTGCTGTTGTTGTCACAGATGCCGACCGGCTTTTGTCGCATCGCCCGATAGAGCGTAATTCGTGGGCAGGGTCACCGCACCGAATAAAGGGGGCGCTGTTGACAAACAACAGGCGTCCGTTGTTTGCGCATCCTTTGAGCAAAGTGGCCAACTGTCACCGGGGTTGGCGAGCGAGAAGGAGTGAAATACTTGCAGACGAACTACAAAGCTAAACAAATTGGCGAAGCAGCCGGCGACGCCGCGCGGGACGTTGTTATGTTGACGTGCTCTAATGGCGCGCATTACCGCGGCTATACGCCACATACTATACTGCCTTTACAGGTCCAGCCCGTGTGTGTGTGTGTGTGTGTGGGCCGGATGGGGCGGCCCACCTGGTGTGCGGGTGTTGTGTGTGTGTGTGGAGCTGTAGTGTGTGTGTGTGCGAGCGCGAATGAGTGAGCCTGTGTGTGGTGTGTGTGTGTGCGTGACAGGAAAGGCGCGATCGGTCCGTGGCGTTGCGTTGTGGTCTGCGTGCGTGTGCCGGATCGTGTGTGTGGCAGTGCGTGTGGTGCGTGCGTGCGTGTGTCTGCTGTGCGTGCGTCCCCGGCGTGCCGTGTGTGTGGACGGGCGAGGTGTGTATGGTGCGCGCTGCGTAGTGTGGCGGTGTGTATACGCGCCGTTGTACGTTGTGAAGTGTGTGTATGTGTAATGTATGTGTGTACATGTACGCGTCCCGTAGTTGTACGTGGATTGCCTGTAGTAACAGTGTAGCCACCACCTGAGACACGGGTGAGAACAGCAGTCACAGCGCAGGCGCTAGAAGCAATTTACGGATAGTTATTAGTGTAAGGCGTGAAGAGAGACTTCCTTTCTTCAGAAATGCAGCTTAAAACCACCAGTGCTGGCTGGCGGCGGGCTGGCGGACCCTAAGTTGCACACGGCGCGTGCGGCCAAGCGCATGCGCACCTGTGGCCGGTGTAATTGGAAGGCGGCGACTGTTAGATGAATGTTAAGAGCCAACGTGCTTAGGAACCGGACCGGTGAACTGGACCTGTTCCGGTAGTGAGTACAGTTTAGTATATATATATATAGTATATATTATAGTATGAGGTGATACAGAGTAGAAGATAACTGTTGAAGCACGGGTTAGTTCCAGCGGACTCGCCTGCCCTCAAAGAAGAAGGGAGTGCGGCGCAGCAAAAATGAGGACAATCCGCAGGTCCTGGGGCGGTTCAAAATTAAAGATATTAACAATAACGCATGTGCTTAGTTTTAAGATTCATGTGGTTGCACGTCTGCCAAATTTTCGTTGGACATTAGCTGAAAAAATACGGTAATTCGGCGAGGCTAGTTAGTATGGCAGCATTTTCAGGGAGCCACACGGACTCCTGCATCATGTCAAATGTATAGGGGATCATGTCAAGTATATAAGTAGTGGATGTACAAAATGTAATTTCCCCTTAACTTTATTCTTATCTATATAAGTTTGACTTATTATTTTTTACTATTAGTTTTACTCTTAATAATAATAATAATTGAATTAATAATAATAATAATAATAATAATTATTATTATTAGTAGTAGTAGTAGTGTTATAATTTATATATATATATATATATATCGTCACGAGTGAATACAAACTAATTTTACAATTAAACCTCTTTTTAAACACTCCTGATATATTAATATAATCATATATATGACATGTTACGAGCGTGTTATTGAATATTCTAAATTTTATTATAGTGATGAATCTAAATATCATAATGATTATTTATATAACCTAATACTCCACTCCATTACACATGTAATATATTCCCCAATTATAAATGCCATAACATGTTGTACGACATGATGTATTGGTGTCGCATTTGTCATAGTTTTTCTCCGCCACGCAGACGCCTTCGTCGGTGAGTCATCGATGCACGCACGCAATCGTCCCTCCGTGTACCGTATAAGCCGTATTTTCCGCGTACAGATTTCGCGAGTGGTTAATTTCGCGGTCGGTGAATTATGAATTATTCGGTATTATTCGGTATGCATTATTC